GGGGATTGAACCCAGGGGCACTTAACCACAGAGCCACATCCCTGCCTTTTTATTTTTTTGAGACAGACTTGCTAAGTTGGTTAGGATCTCAGCCTCCTGAGTCACTGGGATTTTAAGCATGCACCTTGTTTTGTTTTTGAGAGAGGATCCTGCCCAGGCTGACCTTGAACTTTGGAATCCTCCTGCCTCAGCCTTCTAAGTAGCTGGATTTACAAACCTTTACCTCTGGGCCCAGCTGTAGATACTGTTCCTAACGTATTCACTGATTTACTTCTGACAGCAATTCTAAAATTAGTTGATTTAATAACCCCAATTTTTTTTAAAGTAAAACTAAACAACTTACCCAGTGCCAGACAATAAGTGTGATGAAAGGATTTTTTATCTTTTAATGAGAATTTTTTACTTGGGAACGGTAGAGAAATTTAGACTATGACTGCCAACATCATAAATCTATTAGATATATATAATATAAACATTAAATCCCACTGTCACAAATAACTCATTTAGGAAATGTTCATAATGAGACTTTTTTGGTGGTTTGTTGAGTGCATGTGAAGTGCTGTGTGAAATACAGGAAAAGTAATATACATTTTCTGAGACATAAAGTAATCCAAAATGTTTTCACCAAGGAGTTGTATAGTGTATAGAATTTGAAAATCTAATAACCCTCAGGTTTCTCAGGGTTTTCTGCTATTTTTCCAGGTGCTGACTTGGATAGCACCAATGACCACTAAGGGCCATACTGACTAACTGAAAGAATCTTGGTTTAGGAGTAGTTTTAAAAGGCTTATTAGATTCTAGTCTTTATTCTGCTTAATGTTTTTGTGTTTTTATAAACTTTTTACTTCCAGTCCAGTTTTTTCCTTTGTCTTGGTACAAGTCAGCTGTGTCCAAGTTTGTTAGGGTTTCAGCTAGCCAAAAGAATTTCTTTTCATTTGCTGAAATTCTAAACAAGATCATTAAAATTAAAACATAAATGGGAATGTTACCTTCTTTGGCTACATATGGGAAAATTTGAGTGTAATGAGAATTTACACCTGTATCTCACAATCGCTAAGGAATGAATGCAACATTGAACTCTGTTTACCATCCAGGGTTACCCTCAGAAAACACTATCCTAGCTAGGCATGGTGACATTCACCTGTAATTCCAGGGACTTGGGAGGCTGAGGCAGGAGTATCAAAAGTTTGAGACCAGGGCTGGGGTTGTAGCTTAGTGGTAGAGTGCTTGCCTTGTACATGTGAGACACCAGGTTCCTCAGCACCTCATATAAATAAACAAAGATATTGTGTCCACCTACAACTTAATTTTTTTTTTTTTTAAGTTTGAGACCAGCCTCAGCAACTTTGCAAGACCCTTTCTTAAAATAAAAATCAGGGCTGGGGTTGTAACTCAGTGATAGAGCACCCTTGGGTTTAATACCTAGTACAGGGGTTGGGGGAGAAGAAAAAACATTATCTACCCCAAACAGTAAGATAGGAAATCATTATTAAGGAACATGATTTAAATTATTTTTGTAAAATAAAATAGATTATTTTTGCATATAGAAGTCATTTTTAAGAATATTTAATAAACTGATGTTGTTCAGGCAGTTTTGGTACTCAGTAATGGACTCATTGGTACTCTGAGAATAGGGCTTCTTCTGACCTAACCTTGCAGTTTTTACCTTGTTTTACATCTAATTCATAACTTTTGGAGTGCTAGAGTTCAAGGAAGATAAGAGAAAAGCAAGAATTGATAAACTGACAAGTTTGTGTCCTGCCAGAGCATAGAACATTTTTACCGTGTCTTTTTATTTTTCTAGTAATGATGCATTCTTTTATCAGCATTCATTTCGGTGCCATTTCATTTTCATTTCATGGTGCACTGCTACCACTGCCACTGACGTTATTTTGCTTAGTGATTCGGCTTATGACTTTCCTTCCCTCTCGTTTTTTTAAAAATATTTTTTAGTTGTCAATGGATCTTTATTTATTTGTATGTGCTGCTGAGAATCAAACCTAGTGCCAGGAAAATGCTCTACCACTGAGCCACAATCCCAGCCCCTCCTCCCCACTTTTTAATTCCAATAACTAATTTACTTTTCTTACTTTCATCTGTAAGATGACAGTTCATCTGAAATTTCCATCTCTGTAAAACATGTAAGTTGAGCCATCCCTGTAGTGTAGAGTCAGTTTTGCTCACCTCAAAGTTTCATTCCTGTCTGACGGGAGGACTCCTAGGCAGTTTTACCTTAACCCTGATTTGGTCCATGAATGTTTTCTGATAGAAACAATGACCATGACGTCCAAAAACAATTTTTTAAAAATATTTATTTTTTAGTTATAGGTAGATGCAATATCTTTTTTATTTTTATGTGGTGCTGAGGATTGAACCCAGTGATTCTGCTTTTGCTTTCCTTCTCTCTCCTTTTTTTAAATATATATATATATTTTTTTGAATTTTTAATATTTATTTTTTAGTTCTCGGCGGACACAACATCTTGGTTGGTATGTGGTGCTGAGGATCGAACCCGGGTCGCACGCATACCAGGCGAGCGCGCTACCGCTTGAGCCACATCCCCAGCCCTTTAAATATATTTTTTACTTGTCAATGGATCTTTATTTTATTTATTTGTATGTGCTGCTGAGAATCGAACCCAGTGCCAGGCAAGTGCTCTACTCCTTAGCCACAACCCAGACCCTGTAAGATGACACTTTAATGCCTACCTCACATATGGTAGAGCGCACGCATGGTAGGCGAGCGCTCTACCTCTGAGCCACACCCCCAGTCCTCCAATAATAATTTATGGCCCAGTTTTCAGAATATTTCTGATTTAAATGTGGTTGATAATACTTAAAACTTCAACTTTTGGGACTTTTTAATGCACAATGCTGGGCTTTATTTATCGTATTCTCTTAATCCTGTCATGCTATATATCGGGACTGTGTTTCTTACATTAGAACTAAATCTGAATTATAATTTACTTCAAATATTTTCTATCCTAGCAGTACAGTTTTACAACCAAAGTTCAACAATTTTTCATCTATAAAGACTCTTTTTTCTAATACCCACATTATAGTTTTAAGGAGCTATTTATCATTCTAAAGCTATTGATCTGAGCCATAGCTCAGGTCCTGTTTCATCAAATATCAGTGATATGTCAAAGTAAAGGAACTCTATATAGCATTTGGAAACATTTTTATAGTAGTAGAATTTATTTATTGTAAGATTTATTTTCAATTTAATAAGTTTGAGGTCAGAACTTTGCTTTTATCTAATATGATTATTCGGGTTCTCACATGAAAGAGAGAACATTAGCTAAATATTGGTCACCCAAAAGAATTTCTCTTTGACATTTTCCCAATTCTTCATTCATGCTCAAGGCATTGCTGTTCTGAGCCTACTTAGATCTCTATATGCTGAATCTTTATTTCATTTATTTAGAACTGTTTATCTAAGACCTACTTTGTTCCAGCTCCAGTTATATAACATATATAACAGAGTGCATGAAAGACAGGCAGTGCCTTCCCTTGCGATAGTTGTTTTTATCTTTTTCTGAAATAAAAACTTGCTAGATTTGAAAGTTAGGAAACAATGTGGTAATTAATGGCTAGTGGTATTAATAACTGTTAAGAATGCATTATTTCTATAATTGGTGCATTTTTTTAAGAGAGAGAGAGAGAATTTTAATATTTATTTTTTAGTTTTCAGTGGATACAACATCTTTGTTTGTATGTGGTGCTGAGGATTGAACCCGGCCCGCAAGCATGCCAGGCGAGCACGCTACAACTTGAGCCACACCCCTAGCCCCTTATTGGTGCATTTTAAAATTATACATAATTGTAGGAATTGTACATGCACACAGTATAACTTGGTCAGTTTCATTCTCCAATACACCACTTTTATTTTAAAAGGAATTCTGGATGGAGTTAACTCTGTCTTAACCAAAAAAACCAATTGGCACTGTTGAATTTTGCTTAAAATGGCAAGTTGGTACAAGAGATTTGGGAGCAAGCCATTCATACACGGGACAGAGCTTTCTTGGGGGTAGAATAGAATAATTTTAATCTCATTTTCAGGTTCAGGAAAGGGATGCTATCTCTCTTAAAGATCAAAAAGAAATATGAGGATGGGCACAGTGGCACATACCTGTAATCCCAGTGATTTGGGAGGCTGAGGCAGGAGGATTTTGAGTTCAAAGCCAGCTTCAGCAACTTGGCATGACACTGCTACTTAGCAACTTGGCAAGACCCTGTCTCTAAATAAAATACAAAAAAGGGATGAGGATATGTGGTCCAGTGGTTAAATGCCCCTGGGTTCAATCTTCGGTACCAAAAAAAAAGGAACTCTGACCATTCTTTTTTCCTTCTCAGATTGTGGGAATGTAACAGTGGATTTATAGAGGCAGTGTGATTTAAATTGTTCAGCTTACACATAAAAGTATTTCAGGGGCTGGGGTTGGTGGCTCACTGGTAGAGTGCTTGCTTCGCAGGTACGAGACACTGGGTTTGATCCTCAGCACCACATAAAAATAAGTAAAATAAAGATTTTTTTTTAAAAAAAAGTATTTCAGTGCTTCAGAGCATTAAGGTGTTTGTTTTGTATTGATTGTGTTGCTTCTGTTGTGTAACCCACAAAAAGAAAAAACTACCCCAAATTTTCCAATACTACCCTTCTTTATGTTTCACTTTTGCAGGGGGAAAAATTTTCACAACAAAAGTAAACATTTTTTGTTGTGGAATTTTTTTGTCATTTGCAGTTTTTAGCATGTTATGGCTTTCCTGTTTCCATGTTGGCAATTTTATGCATGTCTTGTAAGATAACTGTTGATCATTGCTTTGTTACGTATTGTGTGTGTTTGTATAAATATATATGTACACACACACACACATCCTGTGTGTATATATGTGTGTGTGTGTGTGTATAATTTAAAAATAAAAAGCATGCTGCTTGGCCTGACTAGCTAATGTGTGATTGTACCTGGTAAACAATTTTTTTCTTTCAAATTTTGACCATAGTGGAATTGAGCTCTCTTTGCTCTGATGAGCCACCTTCAGAAATTATGACTTCCTCCTTTCTTTCATCCTCTGAAACACATAACTCTGACCCTGCAACACTACATGGAGAAAAAAATGAAGTGTTAGGCAGCCAGCCTGTTATAGCCAAAGAAGGAAAAGATCACTTGGCTCTTCTACATATGAAAAAGATGGAAAAGCCTCAGGGGACCTGCAAAGACAGAGCAGACTCTCCAGTTTCTCTTGCAGCAGGAAGAGTTCCTTGTAATCAACCTTCCATTCCAGCCAGTCTCCCAGAGTGTCCTGCTTTTCTCCTAAAGGAAGCCTGTCAAGTAGAAGAGCAAATAAATAAAGATCAACAGTCCAAGAACTCAAATCAGGTACTGAATAGGGAGGATAAAACTGCATTGGATGTTGATGACAGGTTCATTTTGCCAGTTGCCCAGAAACTACCCACTGAGCAGTCTAATGAAGAAGACACTAGAACATATTCCTTGTCCCCCTATGAAGTTTCAGGTGGTGGTATTGTAGAAAAAGATTCCCCTGAATCACCATTTGAAGTAATTATTGACAAAGCAGCATTTGACAGAGAATTTAAAGATTCATATAAGGAGAGCGCAAATGATTTGGGTGGCTGGGCCGTGCACACTGATATAGAATCATCTGCAGACATGTCAGAGACTAATGACAAAGTGTTTCCACTGAGAAATAGAGAGGCAGGGCGTTACCCATCCTCTGCATTACTCACTAGACAGTTTTCACACACAACTGCAGCATTGGAAGAGGTGTCTAGATGTGTGAATGATATACATAACTTTACTAATGAAATATTGACTTGGGACTTGGTTCCCCAAGTGAAACAACAGACTGATAAATCTTCTGACTACCCCACAAAAAGTACAGGACTTGACAGGAATGAATATCATTCAGAAATCCCAGTTGTAAATCTTAGGACAAACACTTACCAGAAAATTCCTGCATATTCTATCAATGAGAGCACATCTATCACCAAAATCACAGGTGATTGGGAAGACATATCTCTCCCACAAGAAAATGCTATCATTGGAAAACCTGTAAGTGACCATCTCATTTCCACAAAAGAAGTCAATGTCAAAGGTGTACAAGGTGATAAACAGAAACAAGATGACATACTTCCAGAGTTGCCTGGATCTCCATGTGAGAAACATGTCTCTTTGGGTTCTGGAGTGGCCACAGTGAAAGTGGTTTTACCTGATGACATCCTGAAGGATGAAACAAACTGGCAGATCTCTGTGCCAGAAGAAATCACAGAGGCAGATAGTTCTGGTGAGTCTGATGACACAGTAATAGAGGACATCACAGCAGAGAGATCATTTGAAAATAGGATTTACACTGAAAAACCTTTCTCTATTCCAAATGCTGTTGTAAGAACAAATGAAATCAAAGAGACTCCCAGTTGTAAGAAGGTAGAAAGTACAACATCTAAAAGCACTGAAGAGCTGGTCAGGGAGCCACATCAAACTCAGTCTGGTAGTCTTGGAAGGAGACCAGTTGGTGAGGCAGTGTGTTCACCAATACCTGGTATGAATGTTGTGTTGGAAGGTGTAAGAGAGTCCAATGCTGTGAGTGAAGGTGCTCCTGAAAAGCCCATTACAACTGAGAACCCAAAACTTCCTTCAGCCGCACCTCCAAATGTTTTTAGTGAGACAGAATTCTCATTAAATGTGACAGCTTCTGCCACGTTGGAGTCATTATATGGAAATCATATTAAAGACATAGATGATTCCTCCCCAGAGGACTTGATGGCAGCCTTAACAGAAACCAGAGAGAAAGGAATACTAGGTAAAGAGGACGGAACTGATTCTGAAGCAGTGTCACAGAAGCCAGCTTCTCCAGTAGAAGTCTCATCTGAGAGTAAGTCAAATAGTTCAAGCAAAAACAGTGCAAAATGCAAAGAAACAAATGGAAGTGACTTTCTGCATGTTTTCACTACCCGTGGGACTCCAGTGGTATCTCTTGACTTAGAACAGGAGCAGCTCACAATCAGAGCCCTGAAAGAGTTAGGTGAAAGGCAGGGTGAGGAGCCACCTTCTGTGCAGGGTGAAGAATCTCCTTCTGAAGAAAGACTCAAGCAAACATTTGCTCCAGAACCTTGGCCACAGAGATCAGGTGACATCCTAGAACATACAGATGTTAAGACTGTATCTGATCTTGGGATTTCCAAAAAGCCCTCTATTATCAAAGAAACTAGGGTAGATATTATTTCCAGCCTTAGCAAGACTGAATTGGTAAACAAGCATGTCCTACCAAGACTTCTGACAGACTTCTCAGGTAACCATTTACATTAGAAATATTGCATGTGATTAATTCAGCTGTGATTGATTACTTATCAGAGTGCCTTTTCTTAGTCTCTGGTTTATGCCTATATAATTATAGCTGGGATACCACACCCTGTATGGTGAGGGAAGGCAAAGTGTTTTTGTTTTTGTCTTTTATGATCACTTGATTTGATTTCCCTATACCAATATTTCCTGAAGCATTAAACCACTTTGTAAAATTACTCTTCCCTGAAAGAAATGTCTTAATATTTCAATTATATTTCAGGGTCCTTCTTTCCTTCTAGGTTAGCCTGAAGGTGAATACTGCTTTTAAGGATAGCATTACATTGATCTGGCTAAGTACTTGTCTGGCATGCAGAAGGCCCTGGGTTTGATCCCCATACTGCCAGGAAAAAAATCATCATGTTCTCATTTATTTACAAAATAATTTTTAATCTCCATAACAATTAAACTGCTGGGCACTTGGGTGTTTTTTGATAGAGACCTTGTGAAATCTACTTAGCAATCAAAGATAAAGGAATTCCTGTTGGGAAAGACAGTAAATGAAAGTTTTAATTAATTTAGTCATATACCACAGAGATTTAATGCTCTGAAAGTAGGTAATCAGTATTGACATACTCTTTTGCAGTAATACGTAAGAGAACTTTGTGCATTCTTGTACTTTGGACTTTAATATTCTTCAGGCCACAACTCATTAGATGGTACCAGAAGCCCTTCCTCTTACCTCATATTTGAAATCATCCATTTCCTCATAATTATTGGCTTTCATTTAGATTACTTCAAGTGCTGTCTCTTCTAGGGTCACAAAGGCTATTTAAAGCCCTCCATAAATGGTCCCTGACCTCCAATCTAATATCCCAATTCTATTCTTACTGTATACATACTGTTAGATGCAACCTAGGGATCTGTGGTTTCAGAATATTTTTGATAATAGACCCTTTTTTCCAGATGAAATCGTACAGAGTTATAATGCTGCAAAAATATTAGGATAAGTATACTTATATTTGATTACATTTTTAACTTTTTATAAATGTATTTCCTTACTGAAGATCATAGACAGATTACTTAATCTTTCTAAATTTTATTTTCAACTTTTAGATGCCAGGAATTAACCCAGGGGTGCTTTGACACTTTGCCACTGAGCTACATTCCCAGCCCTTTTTATTTTTTATTTTGAGATGGGCTATTACTAGTTGCTGAGGATCTCCCTACATGACTGAAGTTGACCCCAAACTTGTAGTCCTCCCGTCTCAGCTTCCCAAGTCACTGGGATTACAGATATATGCCACCATGATTGTGTTAATCCACGATGCAAAGAAAAGACCACTGAACTCCAATTTTGAATTAAACTAAAGCAAGCTTATATTTGTGTACACAGGAGGTGGCCAGGACTGTCTCTCCGAAAACCTTGGGCTAGAGATCAGTACCCCAGATCTCTAGGAACACAGTTTCATAACACAAAAAATCACAAAGGGGGTGTCTTGAGAACCTACAGATAACAGGATTTTGACAAGCATAATACAAAGGCAGATATTAGGTTAATGATCTACATGGCTTAACATTTCAAGGTAGGGAATAAAGTTAGATCCATCAGAATTTATGAAGTGCCATTGAGGTTTCAGAGAGGGTTGTTACTTGGTCAGGGAAAGCCAGGCATGGGTGAGTTCAAGGCATGGGCAGGAATTCCAAACAAGTTTAGAGATCGCAATAATTTATAGTAAAACAGAAATTAACTTTTCATGACTTTGTGACGAGATGGCTCCCAATCTTAAAATGAAATATGACTGGGTTCATCACTTGGCCTAAATTTTAAATATTAAAATTGAGAGAACGATCATACTTAATCCTATAATGCTACTTATTATAAGGGTTGAATGTGAAAACGCAGGCATTGTATTCTCTAGTATATAGTGAATATTCAGTCAGATAGGGCACCACGCATGGGTCCTGGTACATAGTGTATACTGGATAATTATTTCTTGAGCTATCAGTACATCAAGGTTTTGTTTTTATTTTTGTTTTGTGGTACTGGGCATTGAACCCAGGAGTTCTCTAGTTATCCTGAGCTACATCTAGCCCTTTTTCTTTTTTTTTTTTTTTGACAGGGTGAGGGGTTACCATGGATTGAACTCAGGGGTACTCAACCAATGAGCCACATCCCCAGCCCAATTTCTTTGTATTTTATTTAGAGACAGGGTCTCACAGAGTTGGTTAGTGCCTTGTTAAGTTGCTGATACTGTCTTTGAACTCTCAATCCTCCTGTCTCAGCCTCCCGAGCCATTGGGATTACAGGCATGCTCCACCGTGCCCAGCTGTTGTTCTTATTTTACGACAAGGTCTTGATAAATTGCCAAAGCTGGACTTGCCTTTTTTTTGGGGGGGGGGGTTGTTCCAGGGATTGAACTCGGGGGCACTTGACCACTAAGCCACATCTGCGCTCTATTTTGTATTCTATTTGTAGACAGGGTCTCACTGAGTTGTTCAGCACCTAACTTTCGATGAGGCTGGCTTTGAACTTGTGATCCTCCTGCCTCAGCCTCGAAAGCTCTGGGATTACAGGAGCTGCCCCCAGCTGGACTTGAAATTTTTTATTTTTTTATATATTTTTTAGTTTTTGGGTTGGGGATATAGCTCAGTTGGTAGAGTGCTTGCCTCACATGCACAAGGCCCTAGGTTCAATCCACAGTACCACACAAAAAACAAATTTTTTAAAAATTGTTGATGGGCCTTTATTATATTTTTATTTATACAAGGTGCTGAGACTTCAACCCAGTGCTTCACACATGTTAGGCAAGTACTCTACCACTGAGCCACAACCCCAGCCCCTGGACTTGAATTGGTTATTTGTGGGGGTGGGTACTGGGTACTGAATTTGGGGGCACCCAGCCACTGAGCCACATCCCCAGCCCTATTTTGTATTTAATTTAGAGACAGGGTCTCACTGAGTTGCTTAGCACCTCCCCATTGCTGAGGCTGGCTTTGAACTCATGTTTCTCCTGTCTCAGCCTCCCAAGCCACTGGGATTACAGGCCTAGATCATCATGGGGCTTGTTTTGTTTTGGGGATGCTGGGAATTGAACCCTGGGCCTCACGTGTATTAAGTGAATGCTTTATGTCTTATCCACACCCCCAGTCCTTGAAGTTTTAGAGTAAACCCCAAATTTTAAATAATTCAGAATAGCAGTATACTCTAGTAATTGGCTATTGTTGAACTTAAAGAATGCTAGTTTAGCCTGGCATGGTGGCGCAAGCCTGGAATCCCAGCAATTCAGGAGGTTGAGTTAGGAGGATCACAAGTTCAAAGCCAGCCTCAGCATAATCAACTGAGAGAGACCCTCCCAAAATAAAACATAAAAAGGGCTGAGTATGGCCCAGTGGTTAAGTGCCCCTGGGTTCAATCCCCAGGATCAAAAAAAAGGAGTGCTAGTTTATACTATTGTGCTTAGAAGAGGCCTGAGTTTCTTTACATGTAAAATGAGGATGTTGGGGCTGGGGATGTGGCTCAAGCGGTAGCGCGATCGCCTGGCATGCGTGCGGCCCGGGTTCGATTCTCAGCACCACATACAAACAAAGATGTTGTGTCCACCGAGAACTAAAAAAATAAATATTAAAAAAATTCTCTCTCTCTCTTTCTCTCTCTCCCTCTCTAAAAAAAATAAATAAATAAATAAAATTAAATAAAATGAGGATGTTGAAGTAGATGGTCTTCGATTATTTCAATAAGGATTGTCTGACTCTGAACATTGTAGTTTTTTTCCTGTGTGGTTGTTGTTGTAATTATTACATGTGGTTACTTTTGAGTGATGAGGCATACAGAAATTAGGCTACAAAAACTCCAGTGTCTAATTCTGGCACTTTCATGTATGAGTGTGGTCTTGGACAATTGCTCTTACTGATTCAGCATCTTCCCTTGTTAATAGGGTGATGGTAATTACTTTGCCATGCTTTATGTGTTGTTGTAAGTAAAGAACTGTGCAAATATTAGAAATGATTAGTAATTTGCAACTGAGTTGTTTAATCTATGAGAAATGAAAAGGGCTTTGGAAAATTCAGCGTATTTATCACTGATCAAATTTTGTGATTAGTAGATATTTTTAGATGACAAATAAGACTGATATAATTAGAGTTAAAAGGTCTTCCTTTGCATGTTTAAAAATTGAAAACCTTGTTAAGTTATTTTATGGATAAATCTTTATAAAATATAAACTATTTCAGTAAAATGTATTATCTTCTAGCTTTAAATAAGAAAATATATATAGTCTTTCTTAAAATAAAAACAGTTCTTTAATTATGTTCTAAAGTTGCTGGGCAGAAATATGCCAAAGAAATAATGAAAAATTTATTATTATATACCAGTTTATAATGAGGCATTTATGATATTATAGTTAGTTGCTCGGTAATTATGGTATGATATTCTCTAACAATTTATAGGGGGTGGAATTAGATCCCTTCTTCATATACTTATTTTGGTAAAGATAGTTTTTGCTGGGCTGGGGATGTGGCTCAAGCGGTAGCGCGCTCACCTGGCATGTGTGTGGCCCGGGTTCGATCCTCAGCACCACATACCAACAAAGATGTTGTGTCCGCCGAAAACTAAAAAATAAATATTAAAATTCTCTCTCTCTCACTCTCTCTTTTTAAAGAAAAAGATAGTTTTTGCTTTGGGGTATCCAGATTGGCAAGAATTTCAAGGAAACAGGCTTGGTGATGGTGTATTATACACTGCTAACTTTTCTGAGAGGCGGTTACATAATTTGTAATAAAAACCTAGTATCGTAACAATTTATTTTATTCCTTGCATTTCTCCCTTTCCTGCTGCCCAGTTAGGCCCCAGAGAGTCATAGGACATGTGATCATCTGTTTTGTGCCCCATGGGACTTGGAGGAGGATGCCCTCTCTTTAGACTCTGTTGTAAGCTCATCCGCCTCAATTTCTCTTGTGGGGGCTACACAATGAGAGCAAGGCCTCAGCTCAGGCTGGAGGTGGGAGAGG